CTATACTGGCACATGGGGTTGTCCTTTCCCAAGCGCAAAACTCTACCCTTGCCCTTGTTGAACTTCATGAGATTTCTCCCTGTCCAGCCCTCCAGCCTGTCCAGGTCTATACTTTTCCTGTAATTGTTATGAATATCAGATTGTGCTCTGAGGAAAGAACACTAAAATTATAAAGTGCATTTTTCTCCTGAAACTAACAGTGCAAATTTAACATTTTAAACTTGATTTCCTTTTAAAATACAGAGATATAGTTTAATGGAGTGCAAAGGGAGATTTAGTCCCTTTCCTCACCCTCACAGGCTCCTGCAGTATAGCCCAACCTGCATATCCACCTGCATTCAATTTTTGCTAATACAGTTTTGTTTCTATTGTTGCATAACAGGGTCCTGGAAGTGAAATAACGTTATTTTGGAGTTTGTTTCCCCCTCTTTTATTTTATTGCAGAAGCAAACAGGAAGAATAAGGAAGCTTTCAGCTGAGCTTGTAAATGAGCTGGAAGGAGTTAAGAAGGGTTGGCAGGAGGTTTTACAAGACTACTGCAACAAAGAACTTCTTGAAAAGTAGCCATATGTTGTCAGGCCATGCATTGTATGTGCACTAAAGAATGTGAAAAAGAAATGTGAAGCAGGAACAGGTCTATGTCCTTATTCCTGATCAGAGTGGTTCATTGTGCTCGGTACAAAAGGCAATGGGCACACATTGAAGCACATGAAATTTCCCTTAAACATAGGAAAATGCTTTTCACTATGGGCATTGTTGAACACTGGAATAGGTTGTCCAGAGGGGTTTTGGGAGGCTCTGTCACTGGAGACATTGAAAATCTGACTGTCCACAGTCCTGGGCAACTTCCTCTACCTGACCCTGCTTGAGCAGAGGGGTCAGACTGCCTGATCTCCAGAGGTCCCTTCCAACCTCAATGGCTCTGCAGTTCTGTGATTCTGCTTAAAACTTCTCAGATGAAAAACTATTGCGCTTAGGGGGATTTAAGAATACTATTCATAGAATCATAGAATGGCCTAGGCTGGAAGGGACCTTAGAGATCATTTAATCCAACCTGCCGGTCATGGGCAGGGACGCCTCTCAACTAGATCAGGCAACACATGGGGACCGAACAGGGATCAAACTCACAGCCTTGGTGATATCAGCACCATGCTCCAACTGACTGAGCTAACCGGCCCCCCTCACCTCAGAGGCCAGAATAATATAAACAAAAATCACAGCATTTTTTTACTTTCCACCGCATCAAGAGGGATATGGGGAGAGCATGTTAGGACATCCCTGGGCTGACTGCTGGACAGCAAAGGTGTGGAAGAATGTGCTTCCTTGTGTGGGACCTACCACTGATGGCAATATCCGTTATAGCAGGAGACTGCTTGCCTCTCAAAGCTTCAGCTTGGCTAAGGAGTGATCAGAGAGTTGTATTCATACTTCCTCAGAGTTTAAATTTAAGAGCAAATACACATCACTCCAAGAATAAGTGAACTACAACATATACTGAATTAGTGCAATTACAGTCTGTGGTATATGGTGCATCCCCAAAAGTAACTTGCAACCCTATAAATCCAACCTTCAGTACTGGAATCAAAGCGCAGTCTGAATCCTCGGGCATTGACTGATCCATCAGTAACAAACTTGACATAAGCAAAACTGTCAGAGGTATCCACAGCATCAGGGAGAGTATTACCACAGTACCTGCCCAACAAATTTCCTGCAGAAATCAAATACAGAAAGACAAATTTATATCAATATATTATTTATATTTATATTGAAGGAACATTTTCCAATTTAACTTGACAGGTAGAAGTAAAATCAAGTTATCTCTGGGAGACAGAACAGTTTTCTTTGCCTTACTTAGCTTCAGCAGAGAAAGTGGACAGAAACAAATACTACACATTGAAAAGGCTCACTTTGTATCCAAAGGCAAATGCTTTTGGGAACCTCTAGTGAGGTTTTGT